TCGGTTTATTCTGTTGTGTGTTTGCTGTTCCTCCAGTACCCTTTCTGTCATGTGCTGCTTTTCTAAAACCTGTGTGGAATTATTTATTACAGAGAGATGCCAGGTTTATTACTTTTAAGGGCGAGAACACTTGACATGCGGCGGGAGGGAAAGACATGGACGTTGTAATCCTGTGGCGTAGCTTATTTTTAATCACAGAGAGAAATGCTGAGGTTTGTTTTAACTGAGATACAAAATGTTAGAAATAAGCTTTGGTTGTTAGGAATAGTCATTCACGGAGCAGTCTCTAGATTCACTAGTATGTTATCCCAAATCTGAAGCAAGCAAGTCCTTTTAAAGCTCAACATCAGAACTCATGTACTGACCTAGTTTAAAATGTTAAAGTGCAGCTCATCCTATCAGGAGAAAACTACTATAGAGCATGCTCTTCGAGTTTCTTCTTTATTTATTTAGGGGGCTGCTTTTTTCCTCAGAGAGAGGGCATTAGTTGCATAATTTTGCAGGGCAACTGGCTTCTTACTCCTTTTGCATTCCTTAGTGGTGTCTCAGCTTTGCAGTTTTAGGGGAAAATGAGCTTTGATGTGTAGTAAAAATCATAACTGATTTTAATATAAAATAGTGAATGCTGGGTATTAAACTCCTTGACAGCAGGAAAAATAACATGTCAGAGAGCATTAGTTTTCAAAACCTGAAATGAAGTGGCTTAACTCATCAACAGAAGCCCTGGCGATGCAGCAAGTCTTAAGAGGAGGGGACCCAAATGGATTGGTGAGTGGTATGGGGAGGGGTATCTGGGGCTATAATTCCTCCATGCGTAGATCTTGAAAAGTCTTATGCATGACCCAGATCTTTTGTTTCTAGGGGAGGGTCTTTGTCAAGAGTTTGGTCCTGATGCTGAAGTACTTTCTTCCTGTTCCTCTCTCCTCTGCTAAAATCCTTGGGGCTGCAGTAGTTACTTGATAGCCCAGTAGATGAGCTGGCAGAGGGCAGGAAAGTTGAACATTCCTGTGCAGCACCTTTTGGATCAGGACTGCTCTAGTTTGGAGAATCCCTGTCCTCCCAGGGCCAAATTCCCCTTTAAAAACAGGCTGGGCGTGGTGGCTCATCTTGAAATCCCAGCACTTTGGGAGGCCAAGGCAGGAGGGTTGTTTGAGCCCAGGAGTTAAAAAAATAAAAATAAAAATTGCTGGACGTGGCCTGTAGTCCCAGCGACTTGGGAGGCTGAAGTGAGAGGATTGATTGAGCCCGAGGAGGTTGAGGCTGCAATGAGCTGTGATCAAGCCACTGCACCCCAGTTTGGGTGACAGAGCCAAACCCTGTCTTTGAGAAAACAACAACAGAACCTTGGCCAAAGCTATGCATAGAAAGGACAAGAGAAAGTTGGCAAGTAGCCATATTTCTAGGCTTGGCATTCACAGTCAAAAGTGCATGGTTCCGTGATTTTCTGTCTTTATTTTCTGAAATCACAACTTCCCCCTTGCTTCCTTCTTGCTGTTTCTTCTCTGTCCTGGTTGTAAAAGAATTTGGGCTCCTGGTGGAGTTCTGCCACTGTCACTCTCTTGCTCACAAATCTTCAGTAGCTCCCAGTTGCCCCTGTACCTGGACCCCAATTTACTCTCCTAATGTTTTCTACTGTCTCCTGCAGAATCTCTCCTCTGGCTTCCAGGCTCTCTCAGCTTCCAGGCTGACCTCTCAGTGTGGGTCTCAGTAGAGTCTTCACCTTTCGGCTTTTACTCAGACTCCTTGCCTGAAATGCTCTTCTCCCCACCAACCACTAGATCCTACCCTTGGATGGAGTATGAGCGGGGAATTGTTGCTTGTGCACTGGAGTGTGATATCTGAAGCCTAGCAAGGAGGCAAATCCAGAAGCTGATGGTGTATCCGAGTCACTGTGTTTATAGAAAGCTTATCCTTTCGTTAACTGGGGCACGAGTTGAACTTGTATGTAAATACATATTCAGCATAGATAGTCCCCTGTAGGAGATACAGTTGGGGATTCAGCTTTTTTTTTAACCTAACATCTGTGAGTATTGCCCTACATCATTAAGTGGCCCCCATCCTCTGTGTGTGTTTGTGTGTGTGTGTGTGTGTGTGTGTGTGTGTGAGACCGTATCTCACTTTGTCATCTGGGCTGGAGTGTGGTGGCATGAACACTGATCACTGCAGCTTCCACCTCTTGGGCTCAAGAGATCCTCCTGCCTTAGCCTCCTGAGTAGCTGAGTACTAGCTCCTGTGTGCTACTATGCCTAGCTAGCTAATTTTGTAGAGCTCAGGCCTTGCAATATTGCCCAGGCTGGTCTCGAGCTCCTGGGCTCAAGCTGTCCTTCTACCTCAGCCTCCTAAAGTGTTGGAATTATAGGCATGAGCCACCATGCCTGGCATATATATAGATACATCTATCCTATCTATCTATATATCTATATATCTTTGTTTATTTTTTTTAGCTCAAATATTGTTTCTCCATTCTTGTTTTTAGTGTATGGTCTGAGGATCCCTGCCTTTACAATTGCCTGGAGTGGTCTTTTTTTTTTTTTTTTTTTGGTAGAGATGAGGTCTTGCTATGTTGCCCAGGCTGTTCTTGAACTCCTAACCTCAAGTGATTCTCCTGCCTTGGCCTCTCAAAGTGCTTTAGTGGATTATAGGTGTGAGCCACTGTGTCTGACCTGCCTGGTTCTTGCTAAATTTGAAGATTCCTGGGCACTACTGCAGACCCAGAGCAGAGTCCAGGAGAGGACCAGGGCACACTGATGTGATTCTAAGGGCCATGTGTACCACAGCCCCACTGCTAGCCTCTGGAGTCTGCAGACTGCCCCATGTGTCTAGGGCATGGTGTGAGGGGCTAGTTGTGGCAGTCTGGCCAGGTCAGGGTTGGGTGGGCAAGTAAGGGCTGCCGAGGAGAATCTGGATTCTTAAGAGGAGTTGACTGGGCTGGGCACGGTGGCTCACACCTGTAATCCCAGCACTTTGGGAGGCCGAGGTGGGCGAATCACGAGGTCAGGAGATCGAGACCATCCTGGCTAACATGGTGAAATCCCATGTCTACTAGAAATACAAAAATTAGCTGGGCATGGTGGTGTGTGCCTGTAGTCGCAGCTACTCAGGAGGCGGAGGCAGGAGAATGGCTTGAACCCGGGAGGCAGAGGTTGCAGGGAGCCAAGATGGTGCCATCACACTCCAGCCTGGGCGACAGAGCGAGACTCCATCTCATAAAAAGAAAAGAGGAATTGGCTCCACAAACCTGATTACCTGGCCAGGGATTGACCAGGACTGTGGTGAGGGAGCCTTTGCTGCTGTCCTCAACTAGCTTTTGGGCCTTGCAGAGGTCCGTGGGCTTCAGGAATGCTTTCTGCCCTTGACTCTGTTTTATCTTTTGATGGTACATATCAGAGCCATGGCTAGAGTGCCCCAAGTCTTGTTTTGTGTCAAACATCCTCCAAGGCAGACGACCTGCAGTTTTAGATCATATATTTATGTGACATGATGCCTGCTTAGGGGTCTCCAGAGTCAGAAGTGGGGTGTGTGTGTGTGTACCTGTTGATATTCTTGGGCAAAGGGTGATTCTAACTGCAGAGACCATGCGTCCTCCAGCCCCGAGGCTTCCCTGGCGCCTGTGGAGACAAGCTTCATTGCCTGTAGGGTTCTGGTCCTGGATTGTTTCTTAGAGCTGAGCATGAGGTGATGCCAAGACCCTTAGGATGCACTAAGGGTGAAAGAATAGTGGAGTTGTGAGGGTGCTTCTGCAGGGAGCCCCGAGGCCTAGACAGACGGGAGCCAGGCGGGCTTGCGAAATGTTCTCCCTGGCTGCAAACCTGCTCCTCCCTCTGCCCTGGCCTTCCTTGCATTTCATTTATATCCTGCTGATTTGATTTCCTTTTGCATTGTGTAAGGTTCTCAGTAGATACCTATTCCATGAAGTTAGAGATGAAGTAGACACGAGAGAGAGAAAGAGCTGGCTAAGCTGGAAATGAGAAGGAAATCGAAAGTTTAAGAACACATTGTGGTAAAAATAACATAAAATTTACTACTTTAACCATTTGTAAGTGTATAGTTGAGTGGCATTAAGTACATTCACATTGCTGGGCAGCATCACCCCCATCCATCTCCAGAACTCTTTCATCTTGTATCACTGAAACTGCCCATTACCACTCATTCTCCTTCCCTCCAGCCCTTGGCAACCACCAGTCTACTTTGTCTTTATGATTTTGACTACTCTAGGTCCTCAATCAGTGGAATCATACAGCATTTGATTTTTAAGTTCACATTTTTCTGTGTCGATATTTTGAGTAAGTCCAATAAGTTAAGAAGGGGAGAAGGGACTTGACTTGCTTCTCCTTTGGAGGCAACCCTCCTGCTCCCTTCTGCCTGCCCTTGTTGCCCAGAGTGGCGGGGTCCGTGTACTGCTTTGCCTAATCCTCTGTGTAGAATGGGCTGGCAGCTGGAGGCTCTCGAAGTTTGCTTCCAGCTGTTCTTGGGATTTAGTGTTTTCTCTGGAATGAAGATGAAGCAGGGTTGCCAGATAAACTACAGGCTGCCCAGGTGAATTAAATCTCAGATAAGCAGTCTATCATTTATAGTATAAGTATCTTCCAAAGATTGCATGGGAAATACTTATACTGCAGAATTATCTGTGGTTTACCTGAAATGCAAGTTTAACTAGATTTCCTCCATTTTTGCTTGCTAAATTTGGGTGATGCAACGGTGAACACACAGTAAAGCAGCTCTTTGGTAAAAGGGCATGCAGCTGGCTAGAAAGATTTTGAGAGATGGGTAGATTCGATGGTGCAGAGAGAGAGGCCATTTGGCACTGTCAACCTACTTTTTTTTTTTTTGGTAGAATATTAACTTGGATCCTAAAAGTAGGATTGGAAAGTAGCTGCATAGACTCCTGTCATTTGTGTCTTCAGAGAAACAAGCAGCGAGTACTGGCTAATGAGAGTATGATCTGCACATGGCAGGTGCCAAAAGTGTGCTCTAATACAAGACCCTTTCTTCCTTTGCAGGTGCTGGGCTACCTGACTGATAGCAGGGACTGAAGGAGGGCAGTTCTTGAAGAGTTACCCAGATCCAGCTGCTTATCTGCCCCTGGCCATGGTTTATGTTGCTGACTGATTGCACCAGCTGCTGAGAGGTGGTTTTAAGTAGTGTGAGTAATTGAAAGTTGATTCCAAGTTTCCCTCTTGTCCCTTCCTGTTTAATGAACAGTCAGCTGTCCTCGAATTTATTTTGTGGTGGTACTTTGAATCAGCCCCCCGTGTGAGAATTCAACAAAAACGCAACTGATGCAAAGCGTCTGCCCTGAGTAAGTCAGGCCAGTATTGAATCCCTCTCTCTGTGTTTTCTGTGTGGCTGGTTTTCACTTACCTCCTCCCCTTTGGATCTAGGTTCCTGTGACTGGTTTGCTTTCTCCTCGGTGTTTTGGAGGACATAAAATGATAGTTCTCAGAGTTTGCAAACAGTGTGAGCCCTTCCTGCAGCTGCCGGCGGGTGGGTGGATAAAATCAGTTTTGCTGCTATTGTCCATAGGCCGGGCCCACCCCCAGGTGCCAGGGGCTGACCCCTGGCCACCCGTGCAGGAGTGTGAGTGGCTGCCTGCTGCATGGGCCTCTGTGGCTCGAAGGAGATGGGCACATGTGATGCTCCCTTCAGAGCAGTGGTAGACATGCTTTATTTTGGGGTTTTGAAGCCCTGGCATTTAGTGGCTCAGTTTGGCCTTTTGCTTCCCCTAAGGGATTCTGTGATGTTTAATGACTCAACTCAGATTGTACTCCGGATGTTTCTTTTTCACTGATGTCAGTTTATAGAGCAATCCTCCAGCAAATGTTTGTGCGGGAAGGAGGCAGAAAGGGAAGGAAGAGGCGAGGGGGCACTTCGGGAGGCCAGGCCCTGATATTTTAATGCCCAGTGCTTTTGCTTCCAGACTCACTGGAGGGTTCTGATTGGGGTTTGGATGACTGGGACCTGAGTCTGGAGGGGTCTGGTTGGGGCTCGGATGATTGGGACCTGAGTCTGGAGGGGTCTGGTTGGGGCTCGGATGATTGGGACCTGAGGGGCCGTCTCATGCAGGGCTGCTGGTTCTCTGGCCGGGTTCTCTGTGAGAACTTTGGGATGCCAGGTGGGGGCACCCTCATGGGGTATGGGATTATTTTTAGGTCTGGTCATTATTATCTGGGATTATTTTAGGTCTGGACATTTAGGTGGGATGTCTGGCAGATGCCTTAGAGCATGTGTTTCAGGAAGTGGGGTGCAGCACAGGCCCCTGTGCCCCATCCCTTCCGCGAGTCTCCCTCTGGCTCGTCTCCATAGGAGTTCAGCTTGACACAGGGGGTGAGGGAGAGGGCAAGGGCATGGGTGAGAGGGAGGGTTTAGTTTTGAGCAGATAGGTCCAGTTCCTTAGTTTGCCTTAGACACTGGAAAACTGGCTTCTTTCATTCAGCCCTTTAGAGGAGTGGCCCAGAGTAGCCCAGCAGGGACTGAACTCTTTCAGATGGCTTCCAGAGCATTCTTCCCAAGACCCTGCCTTCTGCTGACCCTGTGACATCGGGGCAGGTGGGGAGAGAAGAGATAGACACTGTCATCCCCCCAGTCCCAGGTCCCTCCACACAGCTTATTCCTCACTTTTCCTCCCCCTGGGGGGCTGGCAGAATCAAACTTGTGAAATCCTGGACACAGGGGTTTTGTGGTGGGCAGTTATGTCTGTTACTAAGCACAAGGAATTTGAGCAAAGGAGGGAGAAAAATAACTGTTTTTAAAGGAAACCACTGTATTCAATGGACTCCTCTTTTTTGAGGGTTTGTTGTGGGCAAAAGATTGTGGTGCCTCCTGAGAGTGATACAGAGGCAGCGAGTCCCCGACTCTGCCTGCAGGAGTGTGTGGGTCAGCAATATTGCAGTTTCCAGGTCAGGAGAGAGGTACCCGATGGAGGGGATGTGATGGGGAACTCAGGAAGGGGTTCCCCACTTCAGCCGCGCCTTCAGCAATCTGCAGAATGTCAAAAAGCCAGTGGGAGATGATGTTCTGGACGGGAGAGACTGAATGAACCAAGACAAAAAGATGGGACAGCACGGTGGGAGAAAGTCAGATAGCACAGGGGTTGTTAAAAGACTGGGGCGCCACACTGTATGGGGAGCAATGTTTTTGTTTGTTTTTTTAACCACTGGCCTAGTGTCGGTTGTGAGCTGTCTGTTGACTTTTAGAAAGAGTAACCTGTATCTCGTTCCTCCTCATGGACTTCTGCGGTTACTACTATGCCAGAACGCCATTCTGGAAGGCCTCCAGCAACCCTTTGGTGGCCAGATCTCACAGTTTGTTCCCAGGTGCCCTGCTTGGGGCTGCCCGTCACGGGTCACTGCTTATCATCCTCTAACACCCTCTCTCCCTTTTGCCTCTGGGACTCCATATGCCTTGATGGGATCTTTTCCAGTCCCCCTCTGCTATCTCTCTTGACTCTGACACACATCTCCATTCCCCAGCATCCTGACCTCGGAGCCATTACCCCTCCACCTGTTCCCTGTGCCTGAGCTTTACCTCTCGGCCAGGTGCAGGGAGTCTGGCTGGCACTTCGCTTTTGCAGACCAGTGCAGCCGGCCTTGCTCCTGGGGGTTAGGGGTCTGCAGTTGTGAACCCCAGAAACCCAAAAAACTGAAATTCAATCCACAGACATCTATTAAGAGCCTACTGGGTGACAGAGTGAGACTCTTTAAAAAAAAAAAAAAAAAGAACCTTTGACCAGGTGTAGTGGTTCACACCTGTAATCCCAGCACTTTGGGAGGCTGAGGTGGGTGGATCACGAGGTCAGGAGATCGAGACTATCCTGGCTAACACGGTGAAACCCTGTCTCTACTAAAAATAAAAAAAAAATTAGCTGGGCGTGGTGGCGGACGCCTGTAGTCCCAGCTACTCAGGAGGCTGAGGCAGGAGAATGGCGGGAACCCGGGAGGCGGAGCTTGCAGTGAGCTGAGATGGCGCCACTGCACTCCAGCCTGGGCGACAGAGCGAGACTCCGTCTCAAGAAAAAAAAAATGAACCTTACTGGATCAAGCCCCCAAGGGGACAAGTGACAAGTAACAGCCCTGGATCATCTGGAGAGTACCTACTGCTTCTCCAGCCTTCCTTTTCCAAGGGCCTCTTCGCTGGAAAGCTCTGAGCCAGATCTAAATATCCAAGAAGGCCAAACTCCTTTTTGTCCTTTTCTATAATCTCATGTTTCTCATCTCTCTCAGCCTCCTACTTCCTAGCAATTTGACAAAAGGTGAAAAGCGTTTCATCGACTCTTCAGAGCTGCAGCAGTAGCAGCTGTAGCCTCAGCCGCACGGAAGGTGGAGGTGCTCTTGAGTGAGTCCTCTCCACGGTTTAAAATGCAGGGTTGGACCTGAGGGATTTATGTGTTCCCTGGGTATGTGTCTTGTGCAGGCGACTTTGAATTTGATACCCCTGTCACATAGCCAGTGCCTGAAAACCCTGAAATGATTCTTGGTATTCATAATTCACATTGGGTAGGCTTAGGTAGTATTTATAGCACTCACAAGACGAGCTATTGCCAAAGGAGGTAGTGGCACTTATCAGGGCCTGTGTAGGAGACACAGAGCTGAGTAGACTCTTTCTCTGGCTAATTTTAGATTCCCAGTGTTGAGGTTGGGAATGAGGGCTTGTCACATAGTTAGTATGCTTTCAGAGACTCTGATCTCCCTGAGACTGCACAAGTACAAAGGTTCTGTGGCCATTTCTGGGGCTTCCTGTTCCATCCGTTATCTCACTGCACAGGTTCTCCCTGGCGCTGTCCCCTTCTGCTGCCCTGGGGCAGAAAAGGTGGGGTTCAAGGCTCCTTGACATTCTGACATTAGGCCATCAAGCTGTGGGATGGGGAATTCAGGGTGGGGGAGAATTTGACAGTAGGGCATCATGGCTCACAAGCTGCTTTTTACAACCTGTGAATGTCTGACACACTGTTTAGTTTGCTTGTGGCCCTGTCTACTCTTGGTCAAGGGGAATCTCCCTGGGGAAGGTATTAGCTCAGGTTGCTATTGCAAAATGCTGTGGACTGGATGGCTTAAACAATAGAAATTTTTTCATGGTTCTGGAGGCTGGAAGCCTGAGATCAGCGTGGTTGGGTTCTGGTGAGGGCTTTCTTCCTGGTTTACAGACAGGCAGCTGCCTTCTGGCTGCGTCTTCACATGACAGAGTGAGAGCGTGAGAGCGTGAGAGCGTGCGAGCGTGCATGCACAAGCAGGCTCTCTGGCATCTCCTCTTAACCGGGCACTAACCCCATCATGAAGGCTCCACCGTGATGACCTCATCTAAACCTAGTTATCTCCCTACGGCCCTGTCTCCAGCACAGCATAGGAGTTTGGAGGGGACATGATTGAGTTCATAGCAGGGGTTGTTGGAGATTTTTGAGCTGCAGATTCTTTAAGGCAGAGGCTGGTGACTGCAGAGGAACTGGGTCCCATCTTCCTTGGGGGTCAGACCTCCAGGGGCCGAAGTGCCTTTTCCAGTGACCCAGGGAGAGTTCTTGCTGGGAGACGGACAGCATTTTGGTGGCAAGGCAGGGAGCTGGCTGCTTTGTTTTGGGGTTTTCCATGTGTCTAGATGATAAAGCCACGGCCAGCAGGGGAGGAGTGCAGGAGGGTGCACAGGCAAAAATGCTGCACCTGCGTGGGAGCTGGTTGGCAGGTGAGGGAGTCGTGGGGGCTGGAGGGAGCATGAAGTCCCATTCTGCCCACTTCACTGCTCGGCTTCAGGGTCCCTCTCCTGTGTCACCTCCTGCAGTGAGCACCTAGAATGGATTCCTGCGGTTTTTCCTTTGTGTCATTTGTCAGGACTCATTTACCTTGTGTAATTAGCCATGTTTTGGAAGTTTGGGATAGTTTGGAAGCAACTGTGCCACAAAACTGGAAAAAAAATGTTTTTCAGTTGACAGTGACCTGATGGTCAGGTCTGATCAATGGTCCCTCATCCACTGTTGTTGGGCCTTGGCGTCTCTTTCTTGGGATTCTGAAGTTTCCGTATGAGTCAACAATAGAGCCTCTATTGCTGGTGGCTCTCGGAGCGCCACCTCTGCAGTGGCGTGGGCATCTCATGGGTGGGAGTGAGGGCTTATGCAGCGATGGCCAGTGGGGACAAGGCTTACTCTTGTGCCCAGGCCTT